GGACAGTTCTAAGAATTTTTTTTTTGGTTTTCCCTTTTAGGAAACGTGGGAGTGTCACTTCTCGCGAGCAGTTTGGTAGGACGAATGAGAATAACGATCGTGTGACGGACCAGAAATACTTTTCTTTCATTTTTTCCTTGGTCACAGGAAACGGACCATTAATCTAGATATTTTTGAAGACTATTGACAGTTCTAAGAATTTTTTTTCTGGTTTTCCCTTTTAGGAAACGTGGGAGCGCCACTTCTCGCGAGCGATTCGGAAATGGGAATAACGATCGTTCTTTGCTCTGCAATTAGTCTGGAGGGAATAGACTGTCTATTTAAACATCTTCTCGTTTGTTTTTCTTGTGGAACGCGGGAAGGAAATGTTTCACGAGAAAATTGAAAGAATACGCGAAGAAGTGTTTTCCCTTTCGTCGGATTGAATCGTTGCTTCCGAAGGAATTGAAAGCTTTAAGTGCTTCGATAATGTTTATCCTCGTCGTTCGTCACTTTCGAAGAGGCAACCTCGGGATGCTTTGAATAAAAATAACGCGAGCGTCGCGCGGAAGACGATAAGCGATTATATTTTGGAGGAATATCTACGATATTCCTCTGAGTCTTCAGTCGTTCGTGAAATAGTTATTCCATACAGTTTATTCAAATCTAAATATAAAATTCGATAGAAATGGAATGAAATGCAATGAATTTCAATCCAGTAACGTTATTCTCTGTAATCTTCGGTAATACAAATCTCGAAACGTCTGAACGTCTAGTATTCAACGTGTATCGAACTGTATAAACTCCCACGTTTCCAACTGAAAGCTGCGAAGAAGCAACTACAAAGACAAGAAGCTCGACAAGATGTTGGTGTCATTAACGATGTTGTTTTCCCAAACACAGCTTTATTCCAACTCGTTCCAGCACGCGCCGATCGCGGACAAGAAGCGGCCCGGAAGTCCCCTGTCGGTCCTCGAGGTCGAGGACCCGAAGCAATGTGTTCTCGCGCACTTCATGACGCCTTTGGAGCCCCTGGACCCCCTGATCGAGTCGCCAGTTTCTCGGCCGCTGGTGCTGCAACGGGACACCGCAGCCGAGCTGGTCGCGGAGATCGCGCCATCCGCCTCGCAGAGCATTCTGCTCACGAACATGGAGAAAAATGGTAATTCGCAGACTTCTGCCCCGTCTGACGGATCGCTGGCGACGAATACCGCCACAATGACGAGATTCCATACACTAAATATTATAAATATTACGAACATCGTAAATATTCGAAAGTCGAATGAAAGAAAAATTCAGAGGTTAAAAAGAATTCTAAATTCAAGTGAATTTAATTATTATGTAATTAAAGTTCGAATAATAGTGAAAATAGAATGAAAAAATACTGAAAAGAATTATTCGGAATTTAATTGAATTGATATATAATTAAATTTCCAAATTATATTTTCTCGAGCTTCTCCACATTCATCGATTTCACCTCCTGTAGAACTTAGAAAACAGTTGGTCTAGCGTTGAATAAGAAGTGTGTCGAAGATTGTGTGCTCATTTGCGGATGGTAATTTCAGCCGATTTCCCATTCATCACGTACTACCTAATAAACAAACAGAACACGGATCCCGTGGATTTTTACAACGAGGTTCAGTGCGCCGCCTTAAGGAAGTTCGACCCGAGGGACCTACGGTACGCAGCCAGTCACACGTTGGATTTGTTCAACGAGGTCGCGACCATCGCCAGGCCCCCCTTGGAGCCGCCAGGCGTGAGACCGCCGATTCCGTCCACCGGCTACATCGTCTCGATCTTCAAGGTGTTCGAGGGCGATGACGGCCTTAAGTTCGAACAGAACTGGCTCTACTGGACCGGTATTCCTCCTTCCTTTCTTCTTTTTCATCTTATTCGCCCTTTGCGGCCGGATATCGACGTTTTTATGAGATCAAACTTTCATGTTTGGAACACCTTAGTTATTCTCTATGATTTAAGCATTCGATATCTCATTTAGCAGAATTTGCAAAGGGATAAGTCATCTCACAAGCAACGTTTCTTGTCCATTGGTGCTTCAAAACTTGGTAAAATCTCTTGTTTTTTCGCAAGATATTCTTTAACGCTATTATTGGCAGTCAAAGTGTCAAAAGGAACATAAGTATTAATGTTCTGCGCTAGAAGCGAGCAGAAGAAACCGCGTTACGAGATGCCTAATATTCTGTATCGATTACATATCGCAATTCCGGATGACGAATATCGCTCATTGAAATCTCTAGCCTGGACGCGTAATCGCCAATCGAATTTCTTTTGCAGGCGCCCGCATGATGTACCGATACTTGCCGAAATCGGTTGGGCTCAGACGCATCACGCTGCACAAGTCGATGTCGCAGGGCGACAAAATGTACCTATTGATCTGCGAGTGCTCGCAGCTGCAAGACAATCTATCCGCGGCGGCCATTTTGTTGCCGGCGTTGCGCGCCAGGCTCTGCGGCTACACCGGCCTCTACAGGCCGTCCGTGTGCTTCTGATTCCTCAAGAAAAGATGACGCCGGGCTAGGACAGGCGTCGGGTGGCCGGACAGAGCCACCCTTTGAAACATCCGGAAGAAGATTCGTCGTCGAACCTTCGTCGACGAGCTCGACGAAAGCTGTCGAGCAGTCCGGCGGCCATTGTTACGCACGCGGGACTCGCTCCTTCCCTTGAAGAGGCCGCTGCGATCTTTTGCCAATGCGTTCGAAACGCGCGATTTATTCGGGACGAGAGTCTGATCTCGAACACGTTGATCGAGATGCAGGCTTGGACGAGGAAGAAATAATAAAAGGGACGAACCATGTGTAACATTGTTAACAGATATGTAAGGGGGATCTTTTACGAGGCTCGTTTCGGTGAATCGTAAAACCGGGCCGCCACGTGTGTGGCGTGTTGATGGAACAGCCGGAATTCGAAGAGATTGACTCAATTGACTAGGAATGAAGTGTTTTGCTTGAAGTTTCATGCTTGTTGAAATGTCGAGGGTTATCCCTTTGCACTTGAATGTTCCTTTATTGGAGATATTCGCGACGAGTAAAGGGAAATCGAAAGTAAATTTGGGGACTGGGATATTTTACGTCAATACTCCATCGTTTCGAGGTACTTGAACCTATTTCGATATATTCCGATACGCGTTTCAATACTTCAATGCTTTAACGTTTCAATATTCCATTATTTCAGCTCCTTTCGATATATTTTAATACTCCGGCATTTCAATGTTAACGCCCGCCACGTTTCGCGTGATACGTCAAACGTTCGAATTTTACATGAAGCGTCGCTTTCCGAGTGTAAACGGTCAAGTGCAGGTCTTTCGAAGGGATTCCCCGAAAAGTTCTCGCTGCGCCAGTTGTCCATCAACGCGCGACACGCCGGCAGGCAGAATCTTCTTGTTTCCGGTTTGATAAGAGTCACTTATTTTCGTACAGCGGCGTGTCATCGTGTTACCGGTGTGAAAACTGGCACGCTGTTCGCGACACGTCGGTCGATTCGTCTTGTCGATCGAGGATAAGATCGTGGGTACGCGCCGCGTGGACCGGAAGTCGCGTGAACCGCGGCCAAAGAGGACCCGCGACACGCTCTTCGTATACGCTTTAGGGAATAATCTCTCAACGAATCTTGGTACGCTTCCGGGCTGCACGACCCGTGTCTAGTTACGCCTCTGGCCAGTTTGTATTTTTCGACTTTGCATACTTCATCGGAACGTTCAGGCGGACGTTCATTCGCGGAACGCTGCGTTCGCCCGATGGGACGAGGACGCGCGTATTTGCATGCACACAGGGGACACGGTGCTGTCGGCAATTTTGTCTGGCAACGCGGTGCTAACTGGTTGTTTTTTGCGAATTTATTTCTCCGATTTTTTCGCCTTGCTGTCGTACGATTGTGTATGCTCTTGTTCTCTACTGGTGCACCCTTCCATTTGTACTCGAACATTCTTCTTTCGATATTTAAGTAACCCTTTCTCTGTGATATTGCACTCGCGTTTCGGTTATTATAGAGCTTTCACTCGAAATTCACTTGCAAATCAAATTCAAGAATTCTTCTTCCTCTATTCACGTTTCACTCCTTACTCGAAGACTCTCCTCTATATACTCAACTTTTCTTTACTCTCCACCCTTCCGATTTCACCGGTTTCTCCTGAAAACCGTCTACGTCGCTTTGCCAGACTCTAGAACAAACGCTGCCCCGCAAACGCAGCGAAACGGCGAAGTCAAGGGCCAGTCGGACTTGGACCACGGTTGATAATCGCTAGCTATCGACAGTAATTTCACTCGCGAGGACCGCTTAAAAGGACCACTCGAAAAGAGGCCCGGGCGCAACAGCCATTCATAATTTGTTCCGCCGACAGCGCGCGCACACACGACACGCGAAACACACATACATACACACACACACAGACGGACACACGTATATATAGAGGATACAACGTAAACACAAGTTTTATTACTTATCGAACGACTTATCGATTAAAATCGCTGACTACATATCATATACTCGATAAACTGTGATATTCGAACGATCGCCGTATATATCACAAAACGGATTGAGACGCGCGGTTAATCTAAATATCCTTCTCTCCTTCTGTACTTCATTTTATCTACGCAAACGAACGTTCGAGCGAGTAGAGAGTCCCCTACAGGGACAGACTTCTAGGCGAGAAACCAAAGACGCTCCTCGACGGTTTTCTAGTGGCTATTGTAAAAGGGCAGACTCGCTAGCGGATCATTCGCGATATTTTCTTTCCGGCGGCGACTCCATTGACACGTTGACACGGTGATATAGGGATTTCGAGCTTTTCGCCTGATATTCTTTGACGTATTATTTACCTTTGTCGCCAAGCTGTTGCAACATTTTACTGTCAACTATTTGGAAATTCAAAGAAGGGAGAAACGCAAGTCGGAATTTGCTTTGAAGGTAATAAGTTTTCTTCTTGTGATCGTTCTCAAGCAATTTGGAAGCTCCGATCATCGACGATTGCTGTGGCGATCAACGTGTTAACGCGTGTAAAGTATTAATAAAATCAATTCGAACAGAAGTTACGCTTCTGCGAGTCGCTGACGGAAAGCACGCGAGTCTCTTGTTAGCGCATCTGCAGCTTAATACGTCGGAACGACGCTCCGCAATTCTAATCCGAGAATCTTTTATCGATTAACGTTTCACAGACCGTTTGATATTACATATCCTTGCCTGGATTATGGACGCTAGCGTGGTTTTCGAGTCGTCCGCGGACAGTTCGACGGGATTTGTGAATTAAGTGGCGCGAAGGACCTCAACTTCTTTAGACCTAATTCTTGTGTCGATCAGTTGTATTGATATCAGTTGTAATCTGCGTTTCTTTAATGCATAAGAAGAGCTAGCAAGAGGTAACGAAGGTTACGAACAAAACCTGATAAAAATGTTCGAATTCAGAACTGTTGATTTAAACGCATGTAAATCTCATTGATCATCGAAAATTCGAGAGAAATCGTAAGGCAACCGACACGGCCGCCATTTAATTCACGAGTTCGCATCCGCTTCGTCCGCGGAATCGGATGGACAGGTCTTTTCAGTGTCCTTTTCGGGAGGAAGCTTAATAAAACAGAAGAAATCTCTCTTAGGTGCCCGGTAGACGTATCTAGGAAGAGGGCGAGTAGCGTGAATCGGCATCAAAAGTAGTACAAACCGAGAAAAGCGGTGCAGGCCAGGGAAGAAGCAGCTCAGTAATAAGGGAAGACCGAGAAAAAGCGAAAAAACACATAGGAACGTATAGTCAATATACGCTTGTTGCATACCAGACAATAGCTAGGATGATTGCGCAGGCGCGATCGGTAAAGTAGATTTTTAAGGACACCGCGCAACCCCGAACCGGCGGCGTGAAACGCAAAACCAATACGTCCCGTTCGTAAAACTAGCTGAAACAAAACCAAGTGGAACAAGAGACGCTCTTAAGTATAAGACTACGATCGTTGAAGCGTCGCGTTGGCGATTTTTCAGTTCCAGTCTCGATCTTTACCGAGAACAGAAGGAAATTAAGGAAAACGCGAACCATCGGTTCGAATTTGAAGAACTAAAACGAAGGGAATTGTTAAAAGAGTTTGAATTTACGCGAAGCAAGGGATATCGCGATCGTTATTCGTGGAAGGAAAGATCGCTGGCGCGAGATCGTTGATAAATAGGAGACGACGAACGAATACATGGAAAACAGAGGGAACGATTGCCGAACAAACGTTAACTTGCGATTTTACTGTGATCCCATGTGCATCGCGGCTGATAAGAAGTAGAAACGGAAACGATACAACGGTTCGTTCGTTTGCGATTACGGATTTCTGTGTCCTCCGAAGCACAGAGAGGCTCGATCCGGTGTTTGTTCATTGTCGGTTGTTCGGATAAACGAGTTCTTCGCCTGCACAAGTTCGTCTTTGCGAAGTACGTTTCTTTTTTATCGCTCCCCGTGGAAGGGTACGCCTGTTTCAGGGTGGCCGACTTTACGAGTGGACGCGTGGATCGGATCCGGAACGATCGAGATCGGATTGTTCGACGACAGACCGGTACTTTGCGATTACAATAGGTTTATTATATCATGTACAACGAATACGATGAAGTTAATAATAAATCACTTCTAATATTACGTCGTTCTACCACTTATGTCCTTCCTTCCTTTGAAATTTATTCATTTCTTTATCTATTAACTGATACGAGTTTTACTAATATTCATTTGAATGTTATTATGTAGTAGACACTTCAAGATCTTTATTTTAAAATTGATACAATGAAGGTGCTTCCTATAAAGAATTTTCAAACGAATTCGTGTTTTGTATTTCGTATTTTAATATTCCACACTGGATACGATGAAAAAGGCAACTGGCGCTATCTACGGCAGAAGTCGCAAGCCGATCGTTACCGAATGATCGTTATCGATCAGATACCGAACGAAGACAAGTAGCACAGACTTCTAGCGGTTTGAGCCTTTCGCCGAAGTTGGCGCTGATTGTAAAAACTATAAAACAATTTAAAAACGCTGCATATTTTAAATTGACCTTGCAAAATATTCATTTTCTCCCTTTAATTACATCCACGTAACGGCTCGTCACATGTTCGAACTATCGATTGTGCAGAAATCAAAGATTCTGCTTTATCCTCTACGCCCAGCGAATGGTCAACAAGAAAACTACATAGAGTAAAATGATCGGAGTCCTACGCCTCGTCTATGCGATTATTTTACCCTATTTTATTATTAACCCTTCGCACTCGAGAGGCGACTCTCAGTCACCATTTGATTTGATATAGAAAAATGGCGAAGCTGAATATTTAGTATTTCAAATTAAACTTTGTATTGCTGTGAAATATTAAATGAGATAGTTTCGTTTACCTGTGAATTGTCGTTAAAATAGTTTGCAACGATATCATCTGTATCTTGTTTCGAGTGCAAAGGGTTAAACAATTATCTACCCTACCATTTCAAGCGCTGCCATGCAAAACCTTAGTCGATATAACAGCACATGGCGTGACAATGGTAAACCAAAATGTTACCTATTACATCCTACACCTCGTTACGCGATTATCTTACACTATTTCATTATTAAACAATTATCCAACTTACCACTTACAACACTGCCACGAAAAACACCCTCGGTCAACACGACGTGTCACAAAAACGGTAAAAATAAGTCTTACACTACTCGTTACGTCCTACGCCTCTAAGCCACTATCCCGAAAAGACAGATCCCGCCATCGCCAATCGAGATATATCGAAGTCGATTCTCGCTGGCAGTAATCCCCGCGAGATGGCGCGACAGTGACGTCGGCAGCGGCACCGATCGGCCGAGACGCTCGTCAACAATCGATGTCAGTCTGGGCCGGGAGTTGTGGTGTGTCCGTAATCGCATTTTCGCTAGAAAAACTAGCTTCCTGCGGTCGTGTATCGCGGCATCGTTACGCGGCGACGGTACCCGCGTGTTTCTTACGGTTGAACGCGCGTGTTCCGCGTTCGCGTCCTCGCGGATCGATCGGCGGCCAGCCCGTTCGTTCCACGGTAGCTCTCGGTGTTGGGCTCGCGGGTCGGAGCGAGACAGCCAGAGTTACGGTGGGTACAGCACGGCGAGAAAGAATCGGCGTCGCGCACGCGGTACGTTCCTGTCACTTCTGTTACTCCTCTTCCCTTT